GGGGGGGGGGGGGAGGCGACGAACGCACATGGCACCGGGTAAACTCAACCAAGCAACTGCCTCAGTCTTTTGCAGGGGGGAAATAACCTTTGCAACACCAGCCACCCGGCAACTCACCTTCGCCGAGTCCATTTGTGGGAGTAGTTCTTTCTCCTTGTTCAACACCCCCGCGACGTCGGTCAAAAGTAACAGTCGGTGTGCCTTTAAGGCCCCCGCGATAGCCCCCGCAGCCGTATCGGCGTTGCAGTTGTACGTCTGCCCCGACTCGTCCACCCCGATAGGAGCGATGATTGGCACGATGCCTGAGCTCACGAGATCCTCGATTACCTGCGGTGATGGAGTGAGGTGTCCGACGAGAGTGGTTGCATCGCTGAAATGAGAACAAAGAGTAGGCGCGTCAATCACAATCATTGTGAGGCACCCCGATTTCGTACCGATATTTTCCATTTGTGCCTACGACCAACAATATTGATGGTTCGCTACATGCCAAGAACACCAAACCCACTGCAGAACTGACATTTATATCAATGAGTCACGGTTACGGGCACAAGGTCCAGCCTGTCAAAAAGGACAGCCAATCTGACCACAATAAGGCCATGCCTTCAACCCATTGGCTTACCTCTGTGTTAACGGCAGTAATGTCGCCAACGCATCCAATGTCCACTACCTGAAGAACAGACCGACCACAGGCAAGCGAGGGCGAGGATTAACAGTTCGAGAACGACAGTTGGAACTTTTGTAGATGCGCGGGGGAAGCAGTACGTGGTGATCAGGCGCGATCACACCAAGGAGGTTGACTACTGCTGTCGATACATGAAGGCCAGAACAGAGGTAGAACAACAGTTAAGTATCCCCATCAACCAGTACGTATGCATATATGGGCGACACGAAGATGCAATCCAGCACCAAAACAAATGCCTCCTGGCCGGAAATTTCCACCTACAAGGGGTACGGATGGAACAGTCCCGCCAGACTTCCGTTAACCAGTCTTCCACAAAATGCCTAGGTAGCCATTGTCGTATGCCACTCCGCACGTTGTTATTCTTGTCGACCTCTAAATATTCTGAAAAATGACAATCGCCTTCACCTTGACTTCTCCGGTTTCTTTGTCCACAACCTTCTTCCCCAGCTTCTTGGCTATCAGCAGGTTGTCATCCTTTCCACTCAAGCCTACTGCTCGCCCACCAGCGCGCTTGATGCTGCTCGCGATCCCCTTGTTGATGCTACCGCAAAGAACCATCTCCGCTATTTCTACCGTGGCGGGGTCAGACACTCGCACTCCCTGAAACGTGCGCTCGTCCAAAAGAGCGTTTGGAGGGCACCGAGACAGGAAAAAACGTCAGCGGCGTGTGCACATCATATTTTCCCTTCTCGCGCAGCAGGCCACGCTAACAAAGGACGCTTGGAATGTACCGTGTGCAAAAACCCAAGCAAAACGATAGGTATTAGAGTGCAGTAGTAGCTCCGCTTTTCTATCCGGCACTCTTCCTTTACACCGTAGAAGCGAAACAACCAAACATCTCGAGTCCTGCTCACCGAGGACGGTTTATATAGAAGCATGTCACGCTAGAATGCTCACCTCAACGAACGACGTAGGGATATCTAGCCTCTTGAGCATTGCGGCGATCTGCGGGCCTCCCCCATGCACGACGACAGGGTTAACACCACACTGCAACCAGGCAACACGAGCGGAGCAGGGATGGAGAACAAGCTTAAAATATATCGTTGGCATCCATTGGGTGCAAACAAACTGGGCAACAAAAGCGCGAGTCACGAGCAGCAAAAATGGGACGCCAGTACGGCTACTAGAGAAGATAGCGTGCGCAAGATAGACGTGGTGGAGATAAACTGAATTCGAATGCAGCCGGAATCCTGGCGCTCGGGTTTCCCAGCCGCGACATCATGAGCATGAAAGGCTACTGGAGCATCCCGAGAGAAGAGACGACCATGTTTTTTTTGTTATCCAACCCTCGAACATTCTTCCAGACGCGCCGCACTGTGCAAAGCATCGCAGACTCACGCCGTCACACCAGTACTGTTGCACGTCAACGACACCAAACGAATGAAATAAGCTTTCAGCGATCAATCGAAAGCTCATATAGCATCGTTCGTTCTGCCGACCGACTAAGGAGGGGCCACACCAAGTGCCACAGCACCTGCTTGAGCATGACCACGTCCTGGGCGAACGAAAGAGACGCCTCTTCGTCTTCCATAGCATGTCCCCCGTACTTGATGACTATGGTTCTGTCTGCGTGGGCTTGTATGAAGGGAAGAGCGTCCGACAAGACCCCCGCGGTCATCGAGTTTTGCTCCAGATCCTGCACGAAACGCACTCGCGGTGGGGTGATGACGGCTGCGTGAGGTATTGAGAACTTTCTCACATTTCGAAAACGAGCATGTTCTCTTTCCGCATCTTTCTCACATTTCGAAACGAGCATATTCTCTTCCCGCACCTGATGGGGGTAGTACAGTCACGCTGCCACAGCTGATTGCTACATACTCTTCATTTTTATGGTGTGTGTCTTCACAAAAAAGAGTTTGCAACAAGGACGGGGGAGAAATTGAGCGGAACGGACGATTTCACCAAGCGACGTATGCATAGCTACGTAGTTACGCTGCGTCAAGGGGGTGATGAAACGCTACGTACCGAAAGAGCACCCAGAAAACACACATGAGATAAAATACAAAGCCCAGTTCCAACGTGTTGCGCAAGAACATATCCCATACTTGTCGCAGAGAGCAGCGGTTGGGATTTACCTCCGTCAGCATATTAAACAGCAGTCTACGCCGTCACCGCCGTCACCATGTGCTACAACGTAGATACGCCAACCAGCTGTCGTTATTTCAGCGGACGTAGCCAGCAAAGCCCGTGGGCATGTGTACAGAAGTAGTCAGCATCCATCCGACAGTAACCCACCGACAGTGAACCGTCCTCAACCGCGCTTATGCGCATAGTATTCGCTTTGCCCGTATGCTGACTCCCAGGCCCTCTACCGCCGCGGTACACCGCACGTGGCTGCAGGGTGGCACCGGGCGATAGGAAGGCTGACACGACATCCAAACCTGCAGCATCGAGGAAATCGGAGCAAAGCAGGTCATTGCTGGAGGCACTTAGGTAGGCGTTGAGGGATATTCAGAGTTTCAGAGCTCAGGCACTCGAGCACACGTTGCCAGACGAGTCACCTTGCTGGGGTCTACCGCTAACCGGTCCGTAAAAGTGCGGTACAATGTGTCACAGGCATCGCTGAACATGGGGTCGTGGCGTGTCGTGACAATATCAGAATAATGTGCGAACGCGACACAGAACATCCACACAAGTACAGCAGAGGAGGACACGCGGCTGACGGGAGGACATTGTATGCCAGAAGCCGACTGCAACGCTTTGCGTGCAAGTACAACCCTCCGCAACATCTACATGTAGTACCCCGCGTTGGTCGCTGGAAACCATCAACAACATGCGATCATGCACATTGCACTTGTCCCACGCCATGTAAATATGCTATACATCCTGCAGGTGCATCGTGTTGTCCACCGCACACCTCAAAGATACACATCTACGTAACATGACTCACCAAACGTCGATACGATAACTAGACACACGGTTGGTAGCTTCATGCTTGGTTTGGGTGTGGAAAGGCGCCAGCGTTGGCAGATGATGCAAGATGAGATGACTTCTGAGAGGCACATTGCTGGGACTTTCGAGGGGGGGGAGTATCGATTGCGTTATTGTACCCCTGGACTACGATTAGCGATGTCAAGATCCTTACGATCCTTGGATCCTTCCTGTTGCCTCGGTGGCTGCATACGATCTTTTCGGGCCTATAGTTCGCCGTAGAGGGCAGGGAGACTGTTTCGCCTACTGCTCCTGCAGCGTTCTTGTAGAGCTGCTTGTGCGCAACATGTCGCAAGAATCATCGTCAGTAACCACTGCCGAGTCTGCCGCCAGTGGTTCGCGGAGTACCAGCTCGACTCCTCCCGCTCAGCAGCAGGCGCCAGGGCAGCGGCGCGTTCCCATATTTGAACCAATCGATGCCGACGACGCGCGAGCTAGGGCTGCGGTAGAGCAGTGGCGCACATTCACAATGCTGCTGGAGCCGCAGGTACGGCGCTTACGGGGGCGTGACTCTATAGTCGACATCAACACCAACCAAAAAATTTGTACTCGAGGTCGAACTTGCCACTGGGTCTCACGAGTGGAACAGCGCGGTCGCTCCGTACTCTACCTATTGAACGTGCCTAGAGGCTCGTAGAGCCACAGGATCACATGGGATTACTCATTTGTGGATGCCAATAAGGCATACGACACCCACCGTGCACACGCCGATACATCGAGGACCGCAGGCTCATCACAGTTCACAGCAGTGTCATGCGACTGTTTCACACTCCTCCCATCGCGCCAAACGCTTGCACGTCATGACAATGAATGCAGCCAGGGTCGCAGGAGGCAAGCAGCGTGTGTGACCAGATCACAGAGCTGGCTATCGGAAGAGAAGAAGACGACAACAACGCAACGTCTTTCACGGTTCTTACCAAAGTACGTTCAACGTTGAACAGCCATTCGATGCTGCTGTGTGCGCCTTCGTGTAATTCTTGAGTGTAGTTCTACAACGCTTGTTATGTCCATGGGCCGTGGTTGTCTACTGCATCCAAGGTGTCGTGCTCATCCCCAATCTTCCCATCTATTTAGCGACATGAAACATTTTCTTTCTGTGGACAGCTGCCGACTTTTGTAGCCGATGTCGTTCTAGGGTGGCTTGTCGGTTGCTGTGTCCAAGGTTTTTCTGGTACAGCTGTGGTGCACTTGCTCACACTCAAAGGTCCCCACGCAATTTGGCAGGAGTCCTTGGCCGAAATGGCGAAACAGAACGGGATATCAGGCAAAAGAGCGCTGGCTCAGGCACTGGTGTGGAGAATGGCAAAGGATAGAGAGGAGGGATTGGCTTCGAAGAAGAACAACTTCGTCCAAGATAACGAGAAGAACATCGATCTCAGGTGCGACCTCCGTTTCGTTTCAATCGTGGCCTCTTTCCACGGTAATCTCCCAAGCACAACCTACACGGTATTTCGCATGTGTCCTCCCGCAACAGTTGTTCCAGGGGATGTCTTCCATACCTCGGTCGAGGCAGCTATAACCCTGGTGCATTTTTTAGTGCAAGCATATGTGTGACGCACAGATTGACGTTGCGACTGCTTGGTGCATGGGTGATAGGGACGCCGACAGCGAACTCATTAACGATGGACATCGGGAACTTGAGATGCAACAGAATACCGAAGTTGGCCTCGACAAGATCGAGCACGAGATCGCTACAGAAGGAACTGTTCGCAGCGACCACAAGGACGGGGCTGAGAATGATGAAGAGGAAGACCTGGAGGACATTGCTGGGAAGCAGGCGGAGAGGTGTCGCTTGATTTCTGGCACATGCCTGTCAAGTTGCACAGCACAGTCCAATTTTCAATAGACTAATAGCGTTGCTGTAGTTTTTGTTCTGATCGGCACTTTGAATTTCATCACAGGGGTGATCTAAGGGGCCATCAGGAGTATTGCTCTCCCTCGCTGATATGTCGCGTAGGTCGTGATATCATGTGCGTTACCTACATTGACTGACTGCCACCCAATCAATAATCCAACGCGGCTGAAGTAGGCTGTACGCACGCTGCTCTTGACAGGGAGAAGGCGAAATTGGAACTGAGGGCCGCACGCTTGTTTACCACTGTCGACGATGACCTTGGAGCTCCGGATAGGCAAGCCGAGGGTAGTTTTACGTACAACAGCTTCGATTGGTATCCAGAACAAAAGGGGGTAGATCAGAAATAATCAGCAGGCGGTTGGTTGCGCAAGGCAGAGGCGAGGGTAGCAATGGGATCAAATAGATTGGCACGCTTGGTACACGAACCAGGAATAGCATGAAATTGATATGCTCGTGTAGCAACGGCGAACGGCCAACTCGTGTCCAGCACAGGGGTGACGCCCCCGCCGTTGTGGCCTTGAGCATTTTCGTTCAAAAAGGAGGCCATGCACGGCCTTGTTCAACGTCAGTCGATAATCCATGGAAATGCCGTCGGAGAGACTATCTCCGCGCAGCGAAACAGCGTACCAACCGCCACAACGTCGATCGATCTCCAACAACAACTGTCCGTGTCTTGAATTGTTTGTTGCCCACAGAGTGTACGTCCTCAAAGGTTTTCCTGCCACGGAAACCGACGCTGCTCAGTTCCTCGAAGAAAACAACGCATTCTACTCTGCGCCCCACAAGAAACACAAGGGTACAGGCCCTCCTCCTCCGACAGAGAAGCGGGACGACAAACCAGCTTTCCTCAGCGCTCTAGATGCTGTTATTCAGATTACAACAAGGTGAGAAAGTCGAATATTCGCGTTGCGCAAAGCGGGGAGACTGTGAGGAGGCGGGGGCTAGAGGACAGGATCACAAATCTTTTCGCGCAACTTGCGTCTTTTCCAGAGCACCTTAGCAGTTCTTGGTGAAAAGCGAATGGATCCAAGAGAAGGGAGAGGAGTACACCATGAGTTCGAAAAATGGCAGGTTCGTGGTAATCGAATGACTGTGAGGGTCGGGCTGACGTGTTTCATGTTTGACCATTGGAGCAATCTACGCTAGTAACCATGGCAACGTAGGATTTTAATACGCATGATGGTGTTTTGATAACGCGGTCGATCGAATACAAACCGTTAACCTAGTAAGTTGTTACCGTTGGAGGAATCGGAGTGTAGACAGTCAACGCTCCCACTTTCGAATAATATCCACTCAATCACAGTCGAAAATAGCGCCAGTCGTTCGATTTCTTGCTCACATGCGCTCACGATGCTTTGATTGTGGCGACTCGGTTAAGGGATCTGGTCAAACCGGCGGAATCGTCGCCCTGTACGAACTCCGTCCGCGTCGGCTCTCGACCTGGAACTGCGTCGAGTTGCGGATCTTCTCGGTCTGCTCAAGATGACCAGACGTGAGAGCTGGTTCATATGGTGCTGACTTTTGCGTGTAGTTCTCAGATGTTCGTAGTACGTCATGCTGCTCCATGCCTTGGGCTCGAGCTGGAGTGAATATTCCGTTTCGAGCATAAGCAAACCATCTCTTTGTGGAGAAACTTGTGTGGCTTCTCGATTGGATATTTTCACGGTGCCCGTTCACCGGCAGGATGCAATGACTGATGGCGTCTTCAATTACGCGAGGGTGAAGCGGACGTGGTGTTTTCCAAGGTCTCGCTTCAGAACGGGCATCTACCTGGGTTGCGGAAGATTTTTCTTCTGCCTGCCAAATTGCAGAGATTCCCAAAAGATATGGTGACGCCGTTCACTACTTTTTCACAAGACCTTTGCACTCGGTCAATTGACGACGCCGTCGACATGGGTACCATTCAACAGGAGAAGTCCCGGAGAGAGAGGGAAGGAGGCGGACGAGGCCATCGACCGTCGAAAGAGAGAGAGCGTGTGGGACCGGCTCCGAACCACCGAGTGAGCCAACCTAATCAACCGCAACGACGTCTAGGCCATCTCATTTTCTGTTTCTCAAACCCTCGTTTGCTTATGAGCTCGGGCACTCGACGCTAATCGATGCCAAGCGTTTGAGGTTTAAGCCCGCTTTGGGCTATTTTCGTACTTACGTATCGCGAGTTCATGTAGACATGCGAGGCTTGGATTTGCTGCCAGGCACCACATTTCTTTGAATCTGGAAGCGTTCTGGTGGCGCTTCAAATAAGAGCCTGCAACTGTACGACGGTACGTAATTTCAACGCTCTTCGGCGTGCGAACCACTCACGTGTATGGCCTCTTCTGTGTTGTGCTTCTCGCAGTACCTCCCGCCTGTTCACACAAGCCTCTGGAGCAACCAAGGCGCTTGCTGTTGCACAGACAAAGGGTGGAACTGTTTGGCAAGACCTATCATTCTGCTACATCAACATCGTCGCTCCTCCGGTTGGTCGATCGTGTTCATTCTTTGGTTATTGTATTCTACTGACTACTATATAAGTTGGCAGCGATCAGGGTCGTGAAGAATGAAGGATATATTTTGAAAGCGCCCCCTTTCCAAGGTATTTCCTTGGCGCCGCTACGAATGCTACCACATTGAAGTTGACTTTTTCATGCGTGACTATCAAGTGTTACTTTCGTTCTTGAGAATAATCCCCAAACCTATAGCTACCACGTTAGCTAGAAAAACTAACTGCCAGGTACAAATATCATGTTTGCGTATACTCCACCACCACACCACTCTGCCCCCTTGCGTTCGTTGCGGTGTTAAAAAAAAAATCGTCACAAATCATCGTTTTCAAGGATCCAAGGGTGAAAGAAGCTTTTGTCCGACCTTCAAGTCCGGACCGAAAACCCGAAAAAAAGGGGGGGGCGAAACCAATTGGCGAGATCAAAGACATACTTGAGCTAGCGGGGGAGTTCAAGGAGATGGTAACCCAAATGGCCTTCGAGAAATTCGATTTTCACCAATGGTTCAGGTACGTACGTGGGTTGTGTTGATTACTCCCGTTTCGATCATGTGAACGCGCATGTCCTGATGGGAAACGACAACCCCGACAAATGAAATGACATAGCCTTTTCAGTACCGCAAGCTGTTTTGGGGTCGTTCAAGCTTAGCAGGACCATGCACGGAACAATAGTCTCCCAGAGGGTAC